TCTACCCTTAAATAAACTTCTCACCCCTATTTGTAGATCTACATGAGTTTTCTTACTCTGAATTTTTAATAATGAAAGTGCGTGTTTATTTTCTTTTTATGAGATAGAAGACTAATTTCGAAAATGAATATAAAATATATCGGGTGCAAAATTCAAAAAAAAATTTAAATTTTCTTACCAGTAAAATGAAGCATACCAATAATTCTTTTATTACTTCTTTTTCTAAAGAAAACATATTCAAAATTAAAGTTTTCAAATTAGTTAAAAATAAAATAAAGATTGACTGCCAAAGAGTGAGGTGAGAATTATATCACTAAGTGATCGTTTAGTCATTATGCATCTAAAGTTACGCTGCCACTAGGATGATATGATAGGCAGAGAACTGGAAGCGCATCGTGGCCACAGGGGATGTTACAAGAGCCAAGTAATAATTGCTTGTGAATGTCCTTCTCTGTTTTATCTGTTATCCGAATAGTGAATAAGATGCATGGATAAATGACTGTATTGGCTCCAGTGCATGTTCCTTGAAGATGATGACAATTACTTACAGTTTTTTTTTTTTTTTATAGCTTAACAAGAGGTGACGGTGGCATGGATATGTTTGGCAATCATAATCATTACTTATTATTGTTTCAATGCAAAGATCTTACTAACAAAGTTGAAGTTGATTATATCTGAAATTTTGAAAGTGTTATATCAAGATTCGATAAGCAAACAACAATCGGAATTTATATTATATCAGCAAAGGATGGTTATTCGAGCGGTGCTATAGGAAGAGCCAAATCATCTGAATACTATTTATTATTGACGAACATACATGATCTGTGTTAGGACATTCCCGAATACTTGTCTAAAGTATTGAAAGATAATTCTGCCAATGAAAAGATTTATAGGATAGAAAAAAAGGTAGATGAGATAATTGAGATACTCAAACGTCAAGAGAAGTCTATAAATAAAATTAACAATGATAGAATCAAAATTGAAAATAAGCAAATTAAGTTG